GAATTTATCCAATCTTCATAGCTCTAGAAGGTCTATGAAAATTCAAAATGCTATTCTAGTCTTTTCTTTGTTTTGATCATGATTCTCTTATAGAATTCTTTTATTTAATGTTCAGTAATTATATTTTAGGGGTACTATTTAGTTCTCATGGCAAAATAGTTGTACATGGATGTAATTAGCCACACACTCCATAACCTCCTCTTATTATAGACTCTTTTTCATACTGTTACCCTAGGCCAATAGAAACTAACTGGCTTCTCTTGGTTGGCCTCTTGAAAGCTTTTAACACCCTAGTCAATACACAATCAACTTGTAGGTAGAACAGAAGCACTTAAAATATTAAGTCAATTGAAACTGTGACCCAAAACTTCCAAATTAAGGAAGAAAACCCCACAGGTGATTGATTGTATACAAGGAGGCAGAGCTACTACTGTTCTTTTTGTCATTAGTATAAATTTATCTGTCTCGCTTTTTCTGAGTATATTTTTTATTATTAATTTCAATGAACATTTACAGTGGATATCCATTCATTCATTGTTGCACTTTTCTCCCCACCCACCCCATCCCCACCCCCGGTTCACTCTTCTTTAAAAGTGAAAGAAAAACTCCTTCATTGGTATAAAATCCCCCCGCACCCTCCCATCCTCACCCCGAGTATACTCTACTCTGCAACCCTCATTCCGAACTCTTATGATAATCATAATGCCCTAAAATGTATAATTTTTAACCAATGTTAAATTTATATTGGTAATTACAACGATCAGCTCTAGAACTCTACCTTTAATCAATGTGGCTTTTCCATCATTGTTAATCTCCTTTTCCTCTCACTCTCACCAATAGTGATTCTTGATTGATACTTACAAAACCTGAGATAGATAATATTAGCCTGAGGTACATATGCAGGAATTGAACTTTTAAATGGTTATGTCATTTGCTCACAGCTGCTGTTACCAGCTGGTATATACAGGACTTAAAGCAGATCTTCTACCTTCATACCCAGCCTCTTGACAGCTATATTCGGCCCTCCTCTGCTCAGATCTATACTGAGAGTGGCCTCAGAAATACTCTGTGTCAATGCCAGTGCCTGCTGGACCAAAGCGTGAGCAGTTTTTTGCACTGCTTGCTAGATAATCTTGCTTTGCTAGTCAGACAAATACTCTCTGTGTGCATCTTGGACACTTTCTAGTATTTGCTGTAACTCAAAAGCCATTCTCCTTCCATTTGTAAAAAGCTCTCTGTAAATTACTGTTCATCTGAGGATGAGAAGTTCCCTTCCCTCCTTAATCTACAGATACACCAAAACGGAAACTCGTAGTTTCTAAATGCACGTGAATGCAAGCAGTGGAAGGCTACTTACTGGAGATCCCCAAATCTATCTGGCTCAGATTTCTTGGTAATCACTGGGTAGCTAGCTGGTGGTCTGATTTTTCAGTTAGTGTGGTGGTGGTGTCCTGAAGTTATAGGTAGTGGCTGAGTTGGGGCTTTTTTTGCTACCTACTCTACAAATAGTTGTTCCAGTGAACTGACCGACACTGAAGTGGGTAGAAATTTCTAAGATTTCTGTATAGAATTTCCTTAGGTCTTTACTTTCTAAAGCTCTTACAGTTTTACTGGTATTTTTACATTTAAAGGATAAACCAGGGTACATTTAATGAGCATCTCCCAAGCTATGTATTAGTGTTAGATTGTCTCTATCAAAATGTAGTGGTCACAAAGATCAAAATGAACCAATATCCCTTTTTATTATATTCCATAGGCTTTTTCTTTGCGTGTAGCAAGTTCTCATACTTCCTATATGTTAGTAGCCCTATGGATTAGCAAAATAAGGATTTTTAAATGCCACTAAAAATATACTGCACTAGGAACTGACAATATTAAAAAGAAAGAATTGAGGACTAAGCAGCTGAGTTGGGAGGGTGAGTGAATTATGTTAAGGGCTTTAGAAATGCTTTCCCAGCAGTGAGACATGGTTTAGGATGCTGCATGACTGGGGTCAAAATGACCTGCTAGGTTTTGCTGTTCTTAGGAGTTAACTCTTAGAGAAAAAAAATCACACAAAACGTTTGTATACAGCACTATATACAGTGAATTGTGAGAATGGCTTTGCAAACCTTTAATACCTTAATTTAATAATGTGGAGTTATGAACATTAGAAAAAACTGTCGAGTCCCCACCGCTCTTTTCAGAAGCATTCCAAGTTATCTTATACTTCTAAACTACAGTTAAAGCTCGTTGGAGAAGCTAATAGATGCATCAAAACTATAAAATCTTAAACTATGCAACATATTCCTTCTGTGTTCCAATGTCACCCCCTTATATTCAGAAGTTTTTTTTACTTGGTCCTCTTCTCTATTCAGCTGCAAGCTCAAGAATGTGTATCTTCACATGTTCATACAGTGCCTATGACAGGCTCAAAAAGTGTTTGTTGAACAAGAGTATAAACAGAATAATCCCTTTGAAACGCTGCAGCTTTTATCCTCACGTCAGTTTTGACTCATAATGACTTTTCATCAGGTTTCCAAAGCTGTAAACTCTTATGGAAGAAGATTGTCCAGCTTTCTCCCTTTCCCTTTTAACAACTGAGGAATCCTTAGGCAAACAGACTGAAAGCAGGTCTCACAAGTCCTAGGTTAAACAGAGGTACAGTAGGCTGAGAAAGCCAAAGGCCTGAAAATTAGAATTTAGAATGAGACTTTATACTAAGAGCTTCCTGGGTGGTGGGGCATGGAGGAACCACAAAACAAAAATCAACTGAGCTTGAATCTGCTAATTGTGTGACCTTTGGCAAAATGTTTCCCTTTTCTGGGTTCAGAATGGCTGATCTGCTGGATCTGCAACATGATACATGATTTTCAGCCATAGAGGTCAAAAGAAACAGCAGCAGAAAGCCAGGTTAAGAGATGAAACCATGCTTGTTTAGCCCAAATGTTATCTTTGTTTCCCATCAAATAGGGACTGCCAACTGATGTAGTAGCCCTAAGACTCTAGGCATCAATCGAGGAATAAAAAATAGTATTTTAAAAAGTCAGGACAGGAAAAGAGCTAGTATTACATGGATATTCCTGTAGGGTACACACTAAATGCAACATAATCCCATTTATGGGAAGTTGAAATTTAAGCTTATAGTAAATGCAAATTTATCTACTTTTTTGCATTCTCGATGACCCAAACTATACCAATATATTGTGAAGTATTGTCAGTTCACTTCAGTTCATTCTATAGAGGTGGCAAATGTTCAAATAGGTTAAACCAACTTTTACAGACTAATTAGCTTTTTGTACTGGGGTTGAATCTTCTGTTTTAAGACATCCATAAAATTCTACTCTCTAGATTGATGCTAATAATTTTTAGTGCTTTTTTCATACCTGTTCTTTCCAACGATAATTCATTTAATTTATAAAAGAAATTGAATAAACTTGAAAAATAGTGAAACAGTAGAAACACTGTAGTCATGACACATACAACTGAAAACAATTATTTTAAAAAAAAATTGAAAATAGCAATGATATCTGTTATTTCAAAAGCAGGATTGCATGATTAAATTGGAAATTCAGAAATTGTTCAACACACACAGATTGGGTCACAAGAATGAACCACATAACATGACAAGAAGCAAAAGGTGGTGTTAATATGAATAAAAATAAAAACAATAACTCTTCATTTTCTTACACATAAATACTGATGGCAAGATTTCTAAGTAGTTATCACTGGAGTTAGCTTGAATAAAACTTTCAGTACTAATGTTGAAGGAAGCACCTGTTAGGGGCTATTCAAAAAATGAAAGGTAGACACTAAGGCAAGTTGTAGATATTCTTCTGTTAAGACCTATGTCTTATCTTTTGACCTCTTGTGTAATTCTTCAAAAATTTATCCCAATTTGTGAACTATTCTACATATATCTTACAGTCACGTCAAGTGGACTATGACTCAGTGGCTTCCCCTACCTAGCCTGCACTGTCCTCAGACTATGGAACATACTGCAGCCCAATATTACAGTTACTGTGTCAAACCACCTTGCTGAGACTTCTTTGCTTTCTCTGACCCTTCACCACTTCAATACGATGTCTTTTTCCGAGGACTGGTCCCTCTTGACAACATGACCATAGTATATAAGATGGAGTTTCACCATCCTTGCTCCTAAGGAGCAACCTGGTTACACTTTCCCCATGATAGACTTGTTTGGCTGTCCATACAATATTCTGTATTCTTTCTCAATACCACAATTCAATACAAACTAGGTAAAGTTCTAACTTCTCAAAGTATCATATCATGAAAACAAAATCAAATAATTCTTAATGTGTCAAAGCTGTAAAGTTACACATTTAAATAAAAATATATGATCCATTAAACAGATAATTCTAAATCTGGCTTGAAAAAAAATCAAACGTATTTATTTGTAGACTATGTTCCTATTATTTATTATATTATAGAAAAGATAAGCTTTTATCCTCACTGAATATATGAATACAATAGTGGTGAACATTCATCTATTTGGAGAAATATAGGGAAAATGAACAAATTTTTCTGGCTTTGTTTATATGCCCTTCCAAGAGACTTATTGATTTAGACAAGATTACTTTTCAGGAGATCATCCAGGAAATCTTTTGATTCCAACACAGTTATGTATTAATTAGACTAAAATATCTTTTAAAGAATAAGTATGCACAAGTGAAAAATAAAGTGAATCTTTTTAATGAGCATGTTTCCGTTCAAGTAAGGAATAAACAAGTATCAGTTCAGAATTCCTGGAATGCATCCAATTACCAATTGACCATTAACATTCATTTCCAATTATGACCCATTGGCTGTCAGTAAGAGATATTAAAAATATGTGCTATAAAATCAGTTTTATGCCACTGTCCATTACCTCTAAAGAAAAATCTTGTTTTATATTAGAAATTATTGAGCCAAATGAGTACTAATTAAAACAAAGACAGTACAACTAAAATTGGGAGGATGTATGCTCTAATTATATGGCAAGTACACAGAATGTTTCATCTTCATAAGAGAAGAATCATTTTTCCAGTAGTCCCACCACCATGAATGATATTTTCATGAGCTTGTGCCACTTTTTCCAGTGGATACTGAGAGCCTATCACAGGGTTCAACCAACCAATTTCCATTCCAGCTTGAAGGGCTGCTGCGCACTGTTGAAACTCCTCCTAAAGGAAAGAAAAACAATTTTTTTGTTTTTATTTTTTAATAGACCATGTGACTTAAATTTCAGAGACATTAAGAAACGTCAGAATCTAAGAATTACAGACAAGTGTGTATTTACAAGGTATGGGAGTGTCGGATACAGTGCGATTAGCACAGGACAGAGCGGAGTTTAGGGCTGTTGTACATAGGGTCGCTATGAGTCGCAAACGACTTGACAGCACATAACAACAACAACAAGCTTTTGTCTGCATACAGACAAAACTGTCTATAAGGAATATGTAAGTCCTAATTTGCCTGAGGGTCTCTAAAAGATCTATTGTTCTTATGTAATTACTAACAGTACCTTTTCTTTCTCAAAAATGATCTTATTTGGATAGTCTAGAGACTAAGTTGTGCTTGATTCAGGCCTTGGTCTTTCCAATTACTTGCTATGTATCAGAGAGCTGGACAATGACTAAGGATAATAGAAGAATTGATGTCTTTGAGTTTTGGTTCTGGAGAAGGGTATTGGATGGAGATTATACATATATTATATATATATAGACTGTCAAGAGAATAAATAGGTTTATTCTGGAGAAGGTGAGACCAACTGCTCTTTGGAGGCAAGGTTTTTGAGGCTCTATCTTATATATTTTGGGCATGTTGCCTGGAGGGACCAGTCCTTGGAGAAGAACTTCATGCTTAGAAGGGTGGAGGGACAGTGAAGAAGACTCCAGATGAGATGGATTGACACAGTAACTAGGGTAGGTATGTTAGAGACAGGCAGATTATTAGCTCAGGATGGAGAAGGGTTCAGAGCTATTGTGCATAGGGTGGCTATTAGTTGTGGTCGACTCAGTGGCACATAAAAAGAAGAAATAATATCTAGTTTTGGCTCATTACTTAAGACAGTTGCAGTCCTGGAAATGTCTGGGTCATCCAACACTGTCAGTGGTCACTGAGGCTCCTGGGCACCTGATATGACTAGGGCAAATGAATTGAACTTTACATTTTATTTTCATTAATTCACCTTTAAATAAAATAAGCACAAAGTTGGTGTTTACTTATTAAATAGAGTAGGTACAGATAAAGCGTGACCAATACATAGAGGAAGACCTTTGAAACATTTTTCCATACCTTGAATCTAACCAATGTCCCCAGACATTGTAGTTTATGAGAACTACTAAGTGCATCCCCTTCACTTAAGTTAGTAGAGTTTCCATCACTAGAAGTGGAAAGTTTCACCTAATACCATCAACAATAGTATCCCTGACATTCATCTTGCCCTAGTGTGTGCCATGCTTTATAGGAATCACTATACTTGAGTCATTTCACTGTTGTTTTCCAAGAAGAAACCTATGAACTGCAGCCAGACTACCTGAGTTTATACTTTGAACCAAAATAGAACCAAAAACGAAAACCACAAAATAAATTTTTGCTTATGTGATACAAAAGCTTGGTGGAAAATTTTTCAGTCTTTAAAACAAAAATGTTTTGAGGGTTGTGTTATTGTTGTTTTTTTACTTGTTTTTCTGCTTCATATTTTTGATACAAAAAATTTTGTTGCAAACAAAGCCTTTGTGTTTGATTTGCATCTGCTGCCTTAGTTTACTAACTTTTAATTAGAAAAATGAGAATAAGTTTTTCCCCTACCTTGGTCGATGAATAGAGGGAAACTCCAATTATACTAGATTCCTTTGCCATGGTGTCCCGTGGGTTTATCTCAATAGGACCTCTGCTGCCAACAATCTATTATGAAAAACAACATACCTTTCATTAAACAGTACTCCAAAATAATGCTCAAGGGAAGGATGAATAATCTAAGATTATGGTAAATCTTCAAAGTGGTTTGAAAATTTGGTACTTACTATTACTCGTCCTCCATATGATAGAAGTTTCAAATCGTTACTAAGATTTACATTAGATAGCATTTCAATAATCACATTAATTCCTTTATCACCAACAGAATTCTATAAAAATAGAAATAAAGGAGTAACAGGATAAGTGACATCCATTTGAAAGTTATACAAGTGTTCAGGTCTTTCATTCATAGGGTCGCTATGAGTTGTCTACAACGTTATGGCACTTTACAACAACAACGACAACAACAAGATAGTTATCACATTTTATTTATTTTAGAAATGTTTCAAATAGCATGTAAAATGGTCTTTTTAAAGTTAATAAGGCAAAATTTGAAATTATGTAATTATAATTACTGATGATGTAATTTCAAGATACTAGTCCACAAAATAAGAAAGTATGTCGTTGTATACCTTCAAGTTGGAACTGACCCACTATTGGATGAATGAGCAATATCATGATAAATGGAGAAAGGTTTAAGTTGTCAACAATTTCATTTTACTTGAGGCCACGATCAACACCAGGAAACAGCTCAAGAAAACAAAAGATGTGTGACATTGGGGATATCTGTTCTCAAGGACCTCTTAAAAGTGCCATGTTAGTTGTTGTTGTTAGTTGCCGTCAAACCAAGTACGACTCTTAGTGACTCTATGAACAAAAGATCCAAACCCGGTGCTATCTGGTGCCATCTTCACACTTCCTGACACACAAGAACCCATTGTGGCAGTCACCATGTCAATCTAACTAGTTGAGAGTCTTCCTCTCCTTTGCTGAACTTCCACCCTTTTCAGCATCATGTCCTTCTAGCAACATGCCCAAGGTATGTGAGACAAAGCCTCCAAAGAGCATTCCAGCTGCATCCTCTCCAAAACATATCTATTCTTTTGGTCATCCATAGGATTTTCAGTGCTCTTCTCCAACACCACAGCTCAAAGCCATCAATTCTTCTTCTCTCATCCTTATCAAGTGTTCAGTTCTCAGATGCATAGCAAGTGACTGGAAAGACTACGGCCTGAAGTAGATGAACCTTAGTCCTCAAACTGACATCATTACTCCTCAATTTGGAGAGGATTCCTAACTGCAGATTTTCCCAGCACAATCTGTCTCCTTATTTCTTGACTGCTGGTACCAAGGGTGCTAATTGTGGACCCAAGCAAGATGAAGCTGTTGACAGTTTTAATCTTCTGTCCAACCATCATGATGCTGCCTTTCGGTCCAGTGGTAAGAATATTTGTTTTCTTGACATTAAAATGCAATCCATATTGAAGGCTGCATTCCTTGATCTTCTGTAACAAGTGTGTCAAGTCCTCCTTACCTTTCAGCAAGCAGGGTTGTATCATCTGTGTAACACAGGTTTTTGATTAGTCTCCCTCTAATCCTGATGCCACACTCCTATTCATATTCTCCAGCTTCTTGATTAATTTGTTCAGCGTACAGATGATATACGTATGGAGAGAGAATACAATCCTGACACACTTCCTTCTTAATTTTAAAACATGAAGTACTCCCCTGCTCTGTTCTCATAACAGCCTCCTGGTCCAGGTTATGGGTTCCACATGAGCACAATCAAATGCTCTGGGATTCCCATTCTTCTCAATGTCAGCCACACATGATCCACACAGTCAAACGTCTTTACAAAGTCAATAAAGCATAAATAGACATACTTCTGGTATTTTTTACTTTCAGCCAGGATCCACCTGACATCAGCAATGATGCTCTGATGTCATGGCCTCTTCTAAATCCTTCTTGAGGATTGAGTTAAAGTGCCACAGAGCAGGGATATTCAATTTAAAGATAAAGGTATGCCTTATACAAGCTATGATATTTTCAGCAGCTTTTCCTATGCATCCAAAAAGTTGGAAAATAAATAAAAGCAATCAAAGAAGAATAAATGCCTTTGAATTTTGGTGTTGGAGAAGAGTATTGAGTAAATATGCCTTGGATGGCCAAAATAACATAAATGAGTCTTGAAGGAAGTTCAACCAGAGTGCTCCTTTGAGGTAATGATGGTAAAACTTTTTTTCACATCCTTTGAGCATGTTGTTAAGAGGAACCAGTTCTTAGAAAAAGACATCATGTTTTGAAAGTACAGTCAATGAAACAGAAGATCCTCAATGAGATGGGGTGACATAATGATTGGAACAAAGGCCGAAGGATGTCGCAAATTGTGAGGAGAGTGTGCAGTACAGGGCAAGGGTTCATGTCTGTTGTTTGTAAAATGGCTTTGAAAAGTAGTGGTTTCGATGCAATTAATAATAACAGCTTGGGCATAAAAAAAGACATGCAAGGGGAAATTAGAAATGAGAAATAGGTAGTCTGGTCAGAAGAAATAGAAAAATAAAGGTGTAGGGCTTGAAAGGAACATGTATTTGAGCAAAGAGCACAGGGAAGAGGGGACTGTAAATTGGTGCATATTATGAAAATATATTAAATTCTACATTAAAGAGTTTATATACCTCTCTCTGTCTCATTTATATCGTCAGAACTGACTCAAAGCTGATCCTCTCTTGGGTTCTCAAAGCTATAAATTACAAAAAAGAGATTACCCTTGTTTTCTCTCACAGAGCTGGTGGCTGAGTCAAACTGTGAGAAAGGAATGGCCTTTGAGTTAGTCCAGTAAATACAGGCAATGTACATGTTCTACATTTTTTGTCAACCTCCCTGCCACCCATGTATTTTCCTAAATCCATATCCTCATTTATTTTTGGTTTGTATTTTACAGACCAAAAAAAGAAAAAAGCAAGCAGTGCTCACAAAAATATCAGGGTGGCTGGGTTTGGAAAAGAAAAATGTAGATTGCTTAATATTACTTATGTATGCATTATTTGCATAAAAATATGGTAGGTGCTACTTCATAGCTTTGAATAAACAAACCTCAGATGAGCCAAAATCCACTTTCACAGTTGACTCCTCATAGCCACTCTCTATAGGGCTCCCAAGGCTGTAAATCTTTACAGAAAGAGGCTGTCTATTTTTCCTCCACAGAGAAGTGTGTGGATTTAAACCGCTGAGTTTTCAATTCACAGTACAATCTGTATGCACTATGATAGGTCATGACTATTCCTCCAAAGCATTCAGCTAACAAACTTTATTTATAAGGGCTAGTCAGAGAGCTGGACAATGACTAGGGATGATAGAAGGAGAGTTGATGCTTTTGAGCTGTGGTGCTGGAGAACAGTGTTGTTGCATATACCATGAAATGCTAGGAGAGCAAACAGGTTCATCCCTGAGAGGGTTAAACCAGGCTGCTCCTTGGAGTCAAGGATTCTGAAGCTTCATCTGACAAACTTTGGGCATGTTGCAAGGAGGGACTAATCCTTGGAGAGGGATATCATGTTTGGGAGGGTGGAGGGACAGCACAGGAGAGGAAGACTCTTGATGAGATGGATCAATTCAGTGATTGGATTAATAGGAGTAGGTGTGTCAGAGACAGGTGTGGTTGGCACAGGATAGAGCAGGGTTTAGGGCTCTTGTACATAGAGTCGCTATGAGGTGCAAGCTACTCGATGCCACATAACAACAACAACAAACAGATCCGGGGAGCTCTGGAGGCAAAGTCAGTAGAGACTAGTGCTGCTAACTCAAAGGCCAAGACTTTCTAGTTTGAATTTACCAACGGTTCTTCAGAAGAAAGTTGGGCAATAATCTTCTGCATGATTTACTGCTTTAGAAGCCTAATGGAGGGTCAGCTATGGGTTAGTTCCAACTGAAGGCAATGAGTTGAGTAGAAACAGACAAAATTTGTAATGTGCTATATAGCTCACTTTCCCTTGAAAATTCATATAAAACTGTATTAAGAACACATCCAGCTCCAAATACAAAGCTATGGCTTTACTTGAAATATGAAAAGGACCAATTTTGACAGCTATAAAAGCATCAACAGAAGCCACATTTCATGATATGGATGAATAAAACAGAAACAATAGTTAAGGTATAAAAATTAAACACCTCTGCTTTTTAAATTAAACAACTTTGAAATGAGTACACACATAGAACAAAAAAAGGCAAATGGCTTTAAGAGATTTCATAAAACAATGCACATACAGATTCAATATCTTAAGAAATTAAACTTGACTTTAAAAATGAGAAGAAAATATTACCTTAATTTTATCAATATAGTTGACATCTCTATGATTAAATACTTCATGTGCCCCATTTTGCAAAACAATGTTTTTACCTTCCTCAGTACCAGCTGTGCCCAAAACCTTTAAGCCATAAGCTCTGGCAATTTGACATGTTGCAAGTCCAACCTGAAAAACAAAGGTATAACTCAAGAGTTTTTGAGGTGTCACATTCCTCCAAACAGTTATTAAATATATTCTACAAACTTTAGATACCTATCTTTACAGAACTTACAGTTCAAATGAAGAAATAGAAAAAAAACTGTTAACTCTTACTGAACACTTAAAAAGCACATGGTTATCATATTGCTTTATGTACAGTGCTTAAAGTCATCTTCACAATAAATAGAAACTATTGTTCATCCGACAGATGAGGAATCTGAATTTAAATATACAAGCAACTTGCTTAAGTCACTCTAGAGATGGAAGCAGGAGCTAGAGTAAATCTATCGGGCTGGACTATTTAACCAAAGCACCTATGGTATTAAGGGCTTATTGTCCCAAATGCCCTCCTCCCTAGCTACTCACTTCGGCTTGCCATGTCAATGGTGGGAAAACGTGAATAGGACATGTCAGCCTATCCACAAGGGGATCAGCTAATCTTGTAACTAACTTGAGCAGATTCAATAGCAGATTTTGAAAATCTCACCACCAGCACAGAAGAAGAGATATGCAGTGAGTGCCTTTCAAGGCCAGAGGTTCCTGTGCCAGCAAGAGGTACAGGAGAACAGCAACAGCAGCTGAAGCAGAGAACCAGAACCAGAGATCTGACATGAAATGAAGCTGACCTTGGGACTGCTACTCTATGGAACCAGAGCTGGGAGCTCAAGTTTGTGGGATGATTTGGACGGTGAGTGAGAGCCAGGAAAGCCACACATGGCAAGACTAAGAGCTTTGTAACACAGGCCTAAAGCCATGAGGGTAGAGGCTGAGATGTCTGTGAGCACATTTATCTTGACTGAGTAATTATATCTGATACTAATCTGAATTATAGCCTTTTGACTTCCCCAAGATGATTCTATGTGGTCTTTGAGCTACTTGCAATGGATTTTGGACCCAGTAGAGCAGTAAGATTGGGGTTAGGATGAGTAGAAAGAGGTTCAGGAGTGTTAGGGACATGTCAGAACCATGGAAATGAGTTTTGTGTTGTGGATATTACTGACAAGGACAGTTTTCCCTTGTGAAGCTGGTGGAGGTCAGATATGGCTATCCCTATGTGGCCTTTGTTCTTTTCACTGTATCAAATCACTTATCAAGCACCTGCATTCAAGGAAAGTATTGTTGTGATGTGCCACTGAGTCATCCAAAACACATAGTAATCCTATGTACAGTAGCTCAGAAGCCTGCCCTGTCCTGAGCCAGTCTCACTGAGCCAGACACACCTACCCCTACTGTCTCAGTTACTGTATCAATCCATCTCATCTAGGATCTTTTTCTCCTGAACTATCCTTCACCCTTTCAAGCATGATATTCTTCTCCCAGGACTGGTCCTCCTGGCCACATGCCCAAAGTATGTGAGACCAAGCTTAAGAATCTTAGTCTCCAAGAAGAAACCTGGTTTCACCCTCTCTAAGACAGACTTTTCCCCCCTTCTTTTTCTTGGTGGTCCATGATATGTTCAACACTTTCCTCCTGCACTACAACTCAAAGGCACGTCTTCTTCTGTCATCCTTTGTCATTGTCCATCTCTCTGATGCACAGCAAGTAATTGCAAAGACCATGAACTGGATCAGGCACACCTTAGTCTCTAGACCGGCATCGTTGCCTTTCAGTACTCTGGAGAGGTCTCTGAGAGCAGAGTTTTCCCAAAGCAATTTGTATTTTGATTTCCTGACTGCTGGTGCCAAGACTGCTGACTGGGAAGTTGAGTAAACTGTACTTAACAACCTTAATACCTTCTCCATCTATCATGGTTCTGCCAACTGTCCCAGTGGTGAGAATCTTTGTCTTTTGATGTTGAGCTTCAATCCATACTGAAGACGACAGACCTTGACAGCAAATGCTTCAGGTCCTCCTCAGTTTCAGCAAGCAAGGTTGTGTCATCTACATAATCTAGATTGTTTATAAGTGTTCCTCGAATCCTGATGCCACATTCCTCCTCATAAAACCCAGCTTCCTGAATGATCTGTTCTGCATATAGATTGAAGAGGTATGGAGAGAGGATGCATCCCTGATGCACTCCTTTTCTGATTTTGAACCATGCAGTGTTTCCTTGCTCTGCTCTGAGGACTGCTTCCTGGCCCAAGTATAGGTTTCACGTAAGCACAATCAGGTGTTCTGAGATTCCTAGTTTCCTCAAGGTTAGCCACAAACTGTTGTGATCCATACGGTTAAATGCCTTTGTATAGTCAATGAAACACAGACAACATTCCTTTGGTACTCTTTGCTTTCTGCCAAGATCCATCTGACATTGGAGATAATGTCTCTAGGGCCACAACCTTTTCCAAACTCAACTTGTATTTCTGATAGTTCTATGTCAATGTGTGGTTTCAGTCATTTCTAGATTATCTTTAGCAGGATTTTGCTTGTGTGTGATTTTGTTCAATAATTTTCACACTGTTGGGTCACCTGATCTCTTCCAGTCAGTTGGCCAGGTAGCTGTCTTCCAGTTTTCATGGCACACCTGGTAAGCATATCCAGAGCTGCATCCTTTTGTTAAAATATGCCAATTAGTATTCCAGCAATTCCTGGGGCTTTATTTTTTGCCAAGTCCTTCAGAGCAGCCTGCATCTCCTCCTTCATCACTATTGCCTCTTGATCATATGTTATTTCTTGAAATTCTTCTGTGTCAGCCAATTCTAGGACTTAAACTTTTCCTTATTGCTGTCAACTTGGAACTGACTCAGAGCTGATCCTTTAACAGATTTGTGGAGGCTCTGATAGTATAGGAGGGGACTGCCCGTCCTTCTCCCTCAAAGCAGCCAGTCTGAGCCTCTTGTCACTGAATTTGAAACACAACTCCATTGATACTAGACCACCAGAGCTCCACAGGGCTTAAAAATAACTAAAATATAATCACTGACTTCATGGTTTAATTAAAAACACAAATCAGTATATAATAGATATAACGCCTCAACTATTTGAAAAAATAGGTACGTGGCCAAATGATTTATTCATTCAAATGATGAACATTTATTTTTATTCTGTACAAAACGGGAAGCTCTGATTACATGGTATATTACAGGTTACACTTCTAACTCAACGTTCAGTGGTTTGAATCAGCCAGCCGTTCTATAGAAGACAGTGTCCTTCATAAAGATTCACAAAACGGAATCAGAAATGACTTGAAGGCAGTGAATTTGGTTTTTTTTTTTGTTTAAATGTGCAAAACCCCTTCCCATTCTAATGAGGATGAACAATAATAAATATAAGAACAAATATAGGAATAAAGCAAATTCTGAAAATTGTGTTATGAAGACAATAAAAACAAAGTAAAGAAGACTTAAAAACATTCACTGAAGAAAATAAACACTACAACCTTCACTATGGATTACATCTCAACAGCAAGAGTACAAAATTCTTAAAATTGGACCAATAAGCAATTTTATGAAGATGGAAAAATGACTGACATGATCAACTATTTGATTTTACTTGAATTTACAGTCAACAGCCAAGGTAGTAGCAGGCAGGAAAAAGTATCTTTAAAGTGCTAGAGTAGGAATGTCACTTTACAGACTAAGATGCATCTGATCCAACCTATGGCAGTTTCTACTGCTTCATTGCATGTGAAAGTTGGACAATGAACAAGGAAGACAGAAGAGGAATCAATGACTTTGAATGGTGATCCTGATAAACAACACTGAAAATACCATAGACGATGGAAAAGAACAAGCAAATCTGTTTTGGAGTGAGAATGGTGAAACTTACATTGGCATGTTGTCAAGAGGTGCTAGTCCTTTAACAGAGAAAAATGCTGGGGAAACTAGAAGGCCGGTGAAAGAAAGGAAGACCTTCAATAAGAAGGACTAACATGTTGACTGTGAAAATGGGTTTAAGCACGGTGGATATTGTTAGGATGGCTCAGAATAAGGCAAAGTTTCGATCTGTTGTTTACAGGATTTCTATAATCAGAGTTAACTCAATGGTAACTAACAAGAACAACAATAAGGAAACCAGTCTACTAGGTTAGATAGAGATGAAAAGAGTAGATATTTAAGTCATTGGGAAGGGCCACTCTGATGAAACGAAGCCTGAATGAAGTATGAGAATATGCTAGATAAAGAATGCAATAGGTAGAATATGTGGTCACAGTTAAACTGGAAAGGTGAGAATGAACTTGGGATGACCAAAGACAGAAAGAGGGGCACTGTGGGAGAGAGTGGAAGATGAGGCAGGAAGGTTGAAAGTGAAGGTAATGAGTTTGCATTCCATATACAAACAATGAAGGATTATTTAGGAGGGAAGTAGGAGAGTATGATTTAAGTTTTGAAATGATCACCACAATATATGTGAAGCAAAAGGTTGTTGTTAGGTGCCATCAAGTCGAATAACTACAATTCATAGTGGCCCTATGAACAAAAGATCTGAACTTTGCCTTATCCTATATCACCCTTACCTTCTCTAATATACTCAAGCACATTGCTACACTCATTGTATAGCTCCATGTTGTTGAGGGGTTTTCTCTCTTTCAGTGACCTTCTACCCTTCCAAGAACTGGCCTCTCCTAACAAGAGCCCAAAGTATGGGAGAGGAAGTTTCACCATCTTTGCCTTTATACAAAAGGTAGATGGGGGAGATGGGAGTAGTGAGATCAGTTAGTAACACATTCTCAACTTTAGATATGGCTGAATTGAACTAGCATCTTAGACTGAGAAATATAAAAATAAAGTTAAACATGGTTTAGGTGTAAACTTTTGAGATTTCCTCCAGATTGAATGTAAGAGGTAAGGATTAGGGAAAAATCAAGGCTGTCACCTAGATCTTTGGCTAGATCAACTGGATAGATTGATTGAGTGATCTCAGAGGATCAGGTTTGTGTAAGGAACAAGAACTTTCAAGAAGTCTCACTTGAACATAGTTCTCTTCTAAATAAAATGGCTCAGTAATCAGTTTAATACAAGCAATGACTCAAAAGAGTTCAGAGCTGGAGGGAAAATTTAAAATTCAGCTATAGAGGATATTTTTAATAG